CCCTGCCCCCCACCCCAGAGCTGGAGTTCAGGGTCTCCCTCTCGCTCCAACCATGACAGGCTCCCCCCCCTTCTCCTCACCTCCTCTGGGGAACCTGAGCCTGGCTACCTCCTGTGCCCTGGGCACCCCTCTTCCCCCCAGGGCACCCCTCCCATAGCCCTCCTGTGCCCTGGGCATCCTTCCCCCCTAGGGCACCCCTCCCTCCCCCCAGCCACTCTGTGCCCCAGGGTGTCCCTCCCACCCCAGGACACCCCTCCCATAACCTCCCCTCTGTGCCCCTCCCACCTGCCCCGAGGTGCCCCCATGATGCTTCCGGGGTGACCCAAGGTGTCGGGGCGAATCACTCCCACCTGCTCACAGCCTGAGAGCGCCCTGGCTGTGCCCGCCGGGGGAGACCTGCCCAGGCCCTGCCAGCCGCTGGTGGCTCACACGCTCGGCTGTGGACTCCGCGAGCCCTCCTTGCCCTCTGCAGGCTGGCGAGTCCCCCGGCCACAGGGAGTGCCCGGGGTCTGCTGGGCAGGCACACGTCGGGGTCAAAAACCTGTTACAGACCCTTCCCGCTTCGTCCCAGCGCCCCCTCCCCCCCCATAACTCCCCTCCCACGCCCCTTGCAGAAGAGCTACGTGCCCTACCGGGACAGCAAGATGACGCGGATCCTGCAGGACTCGCTGGGCGGGAACTGCCGCACGACCATGTTCATCTGCTGCTCGCCCTCCAGCTACAACGACGCTGAGACTAAGTCCACCCTCATGTTCGGCCAACGGTACCGGAACAACGCCCGCGGCGCTGCCCGCCTGCTACCCCGGGGGTCCCCCCTCCCTCTGCTGCCAGCCGGTGCCCACCTGCTACCCCGGGGGTCTCCCCGCTCGCTGGGCCCGCAGGCCCCTCCCTGTGGGGCCGCCCGCTGCCCACCCGCTACCCCGGTGCAACTCCCCCACCCGCCTGTGTGTGCTGGGCTCTGGCGCTGCGAATCCCCCTGGGGATGGGCCGGGAGCAGCAGGCTGGATCCCCCCCCACCCCACCGCAGCCGGTCACAGTCGCCCCCAACCCGGAAGGGAGCCTGGAGTGGCCCTAAATCCTCTCAGGAGCTGCTGGGGCAGGTGCCGGGAGAGGCTGAGGGCTGGACTGGGGTCGCTTGGTTCCCCATGTCGGGGTGTCCCGGATCCAGGGGGTGGGCAGAGCCGGGGCGGGGGAACCAGAGGGGGGCGCTAGGAGGAGTTCAGGGGAAACCCCAGCTGGAGAGATCATTGCGGCTTGGGGATTGACTCCCCGGGGGGCTCTGGCCCCGGGAGGCAGCGCTGCAGAGTGGGGGGCGGGGCTGGTTCGTGGGCCCCACGTGAAAGGGCCCCCCCCCGCCTCCCCTCCAGGGCCAAGACCATCAAGAACACGGCGTCGGTGAACCTGGAGCTGACGGCCGAGCAGTGGAAGAAGAAGTATGAGAAGGAGAAGGAGAAGAACAAGACGCTGAAGGAGACGATCGGGAAGCTGGAGGCTGAGCTGAGCCGCTGGAGGAACGGTGAGGCCTGGTTGGGGGACCCAGGAGTCGGGGTGGGGAGGGGAGCTCACCATGTCCTGTGGGGAGAGAGCTTTGCTCTCCGGGGCTGAGTTTCTGGACATCCCTGGGGGCCGGTGGGGGGGTCCCTGTTTCAGCTTCAGGGGGTTACCCTGCCCCCCCCCCCCCGCAGGGGAGAACGTGCCGGAGACGGAGCAGCTGAGCGAGGAGGAGACGCCGGCGCCCGACACCTGTGACGAGACGCCCGTCAACGACAACGCCTCGTCCATCGTCATCCGCATCTCCGAGGAGGAGCGGCGCAAGTACGAGGAGGAGATCCGCAAACTGTACAAGCAGCTGGATGACAAGGTCAGCGGGGATGCTGCCCCCCCCCCAGTGCCCACTGCCCCTCCCATGGCCCCCCATTACTGTGGCCAGCCCCCTCCATTCCTGCAGCCCCAGGAGATGCCAGGGCACACACAGACCCCTGGTTGCACTGTGCCCCCCGGCCTCCCACTGCAGGCTTACCAAGCCCCCCCCCCCCCCCCCCAACCCCCCGGCCAGTACAGGCCAGGGGCCCCCCCCCGCCTGACAACTCATGTTTCCAGCCCCTCCTCTGTCCTCTGCGCCCAGGGGTGCCACGCAGCAGCTCGGGGGGTGCCCGTGGGGCGGGTGGCTCTGACCCTCCTCCCGTCTCCTTTTCCCTCCCCCCCCCCGGCCGACGAGATCAACCAGCAGAGCCAGCTGATGGAGAAGCTCTCGCAGCAGATGCTGGAGCAGGAGGAGGTGAGAGGCCGGGCAGAAGGAGGGAGGGGGCTGGACCCCAGGGGAGCCCCCTCTTCTCCTGGGGGGGGCGCTTGCCTGGGGCTCCCTGCCTGACCGGCTGTGCCCCCCCCTCCCCCCAGCTGCTGGTGTCGACGCGCGGGGACAACGAGAAGGTGCAGCGGGAGCTGGGCCGGCTGCAGGTGGAGAACGACTCGGCCAAGGAGGAGGTGCGCGAGGTGCTGCAGGCGCTGGAGGAACTGGCCCTCAACTACGACCAGAAGGCGCAGGAGGCGGAGGAGAAGGGGCAGCAGAACCAGCTGCTGGTGGACGAGCTGTCCCAGAAAGTGGTGAGCGGGGCGGCGCCGGGGG